TCTGACGAGAAAACAATTGCTTCTTGACAACAATGTTCACTGTCACACAGAAAGTGCCAACAACTGGTCATCACGATGTGCATCTACACTTTTTTGAACACAATATGTTTTAAATTTTTACTTCGAAATGCCCAATTCCCAGGTTGAAGCGCTGATGCTGGTGGATGAGGTCTCCAATTCGGATTCCCTCTTCATTTTGCCCGATGAAATCCAGGAGTTGCTGAGGAAAATACATCAGAAGGAAACCATTGAGTTCTCACGGAAGATTTGCGCTTAGTTTCTACATGCTACTGTAATTTGGTTCACAATGACAGGGATTTCTTGATGAATCACGCTTGTGGCAAAAGACTCTCAGGAACTTTACTTTGAAGCCACCCAAGAACATTGACGTGGTTCCTGGTGATGTTGGGACAATTGGGGTCGGGCTCAAAACTCAGATTTTTTTTGGTGAATAATGCATGTCCAAGTATACGATACACACATGCACATACTATTAATTGTTTGGGAATGCTGGTGAGGCTGTCGACTCGTGCCTTCTTCGCCACGGGTGCTGACGCGCATCGGATTAAGCGATTGAATGCGACTATGAAATTGGACCTGAACGCAACCTGCCTCATTGTCATTTTGAATGAATGAGTTTTCAATGTAGCACCTTCCGTACAAGAAAACATCCTTGGCCTATCCTGCCTCAGGCAAATGTGCGGAGAGGTTGCTCGCTTTCGTGGGGGCGGTATGGTGGGGCAGTGAAGGCGTGGCTAGACTCAATAACAACCAGGGTTTTGGTCCATGATATAAAACCCATAAATTATATAGGAAACAAGTGTATCAAAAACACGTTGAGTTTTGACCCTGCTGCGTCGCGTATCTCAGGTGGACCATCGCGAAGCGTGTGGCTGGCTGGGAAGCATTTGATTCAGAGCTTGATAGTGACATGGAGAAATCTCCAGGATCGTCCTGAACTCTAAACCTAGTTCAGTTTTGACGGGGCTTTGATGACTGCCATGCATAGAAGGGTCCCTGTGTTGACTAAATCGCAAACACCAAGAGACTAGCACTTTTGTTTGATAACTTATAATTTTGAATATTTCGGGATGGGAACCCTTAGCGTCTGTGCAGTCATAAATTTAAATAGATCGATCAATCTACTAGATGGATGTGCGATCTTCGCACATCCCACCTCTGAGGGGCTTCGATAGGTGATGAAAATACGTGAGTCGTGCCAACTCAGTTTTGCAATGTGCACATGTCTGTGCACCGACCCCTTGTGAATGACAGTTCAATCGACCAGATTCTCACCGCAGTTTCCCGTCCATTTTTGTGTGATAGAGCTGAATTGCCAAAACATGCCCCGGATCTCGCCCCTGTCCTTGTCCGCACGGCAAGCAGCTTTGCTGGTTTCTCTCGGAGTGCCTTTGGTGTTGCTGCGTGGCCGCACGTGTTGATTCGGAATGATCAGCAGCTGGTCTACTGATGCATGGAGTGGGAAGTGAAAACCACATGAACAATAACAACTGATGACTTTGCTCATAACTTTGACTGTCGTGTGACATAGGGCCAAATTCAAAAACCAAAAACAAAGATGAAACACAAAACACGTGTACTAGCTAAGTTTACATTGTGTGGATTATGTCGTGGAGAATACCCCCGTGTACCTGAGCCACCGAGTGCCAATCTTAGAAGATTTCTTGAACGCATGATTTCCTCACGTCAACATGTTTCCTGGGCCACAAGATTCCACACATGAGTCAGGATCTCACAAACGTGGACCTATTCAGCGGAAAAGCGGCCATCAACCGAGCCTTTGGTACTGACCCTAAGTCTTGAGCAGCTTTATAAATTAGAACACAAAACTGGTTCGAGATTTGATTCACGCACGCACTCACCCCGTAAGAAGCCCTCGAAATTCACCAAGCCAAGGCGAAGAACATCTGAAGTCGTCAGGTTCTCAAATCAGATTCTCAACTCGTGCGGTGAAAGGCGGGTCAAACCAAAAAGCTCTTAACTATAATCCATGACTTAGGAAACCATATGATATCGAGACCGATGGCAACTTTGGTGACATCACCTGCACGTTTCCGGGCTTGCATTATATCAGTCTAGTCCAAGGATTTATATATAAATTATGATGTCAGTGATTATTATTTGTTCATCTAGGAATCTAATTCGGCAAAGAACCAAGGGAGGGCTTTTTGAAGGCCATCCAGTACACGCTACGTTTGCAGGAGGGTGGACTTACAACGGCAGGTCCACCATGCGGCAGCTTTGTATTCTTGAATATGGGGACGTCAGGTCGCAGCAAACAACGTCCATTAGGCGGCAAATACGCTTACGTCAAGCGAGCGAACTTGACCCTTAATGTAGTTTTGGAAAAGACTGTCCTGTGCGGGGTGACTGTTTCTTTTTGACCCCTTGTGACTGCCCAAACCAATCTTCAGACCTCAGGATTGTGTGTCGCTTGGCTCTACTCCTTCTGCTCGGACTGATTCGGTGCACCTTGTGTCTGGTGGAACAACCGTCTTGCACCCTGATGTTGAGCTTTCCGTACATCAAGTGGTTTGCCAAGCTGGTGGCCTTGTCCTACACCTGGCTTGAAACAAGATTGCGGGATCCTTACAACCAGTATCAACCAGTCGACCTGTATAATTAAGATCTAGGCAGTTGTTTGCATTTTTTCATCGTGCGTGTCATCGAAACTGAGTCCGATGGCCGTCTATGGGCACCCGAACCAAAAGCCGACTGTTACATTTGGAACTGCGCAGCGTACTCAGGGTTCTGATGGCAAAGATGGGCACATACTAGGCATTCCAATAATGTGCTTTTGCCAGCATGACATGACGTGTTGGAAATAAATATTGTTCCCAGGCCCTGGGCCTACAGACTTCGGAAAAAAATGACGAAAGCCACAAAGAAACGCATCGAGAAGGCGAAACCGATGGTCAAGAAGTATGTAGATGGCAAGGGGAAAAAACGAGTGTGCCTGACCTAGATCTTTGCATGGGTATACATGGTTCGATTGTTCTTTGCCATGCACGTCCAGCGATGTCAAATCGAATCCTCCGACCAAGGTGCGGTCAACCCAAAGTTCTCCGCATTTCGCAGGTGTATCCTGCCGGGTATGGCAAAGCAGTTTGCAAGCACCACAAGACTTGGATGGTGGCCCGTTGGAATCCGTTGGATCACAATCCACTAAGTAACTTATATTTGGAGTTGGTGGATCCAGGGATCGATTTTGGGACCATTATGACTCACCTTCAAAATGCGAATGGGCCCCGACTCAAAACGGCTTGAACATGACCATGGAATGAAACAATCGAGGTCATACATTTTAAAATACTAAATAGAAATCTGGAGATCGAGACAAAGAATTCTGTTCACTTCTAGATTCTAGAACACAAGGTTTCGACCTCATGTTCCTTCTTTAAACAGGTGCTTGCTTCTGTCACGCGCTCCTGCCAAGGAGACCTCTGAGAACATCAAGGTGCTCCGAGAAGCTTTGTATCCACCTCAAGGCGGTCTCAACCAGAAGCTCGTGGATAAGTGTCCCCAGGCCCTTCTCATAGGAATATACGAGTTCAGCGTGTGCAAATCATATAGATCAGAATTGAAACCGTTTTTCTGCTCACGAGAGGCCCCATACCGGTGGAGGCATGCATGCTTGACTGAGCTGGAAACCTTTTTGATTAAAGAACAGAGGGCCGGTAGATACCACCCTTTGATTAAGAATGGTCTTTCCCTTTGAGTCTGGGGAGAATTACCCTGGAACAATTCGATTGTGGTTTTTTACCACAAGTTGGCTACTTCCACGATGCCTGCCCGTTGTGTCACGCAAATGCCATGAGGGTTCAGGATCCATCTCAATATGTTCTGAAACTATATTCATGGAACCCTTTTGCTTTGTGTTCATGTGACAATGGGAGGCTTTGCATGCTGCAGAGAGCTCCAATCACACACAGTGCCAAAACACATATTGACAGCTGAAGTGTTCAGCCATTGGCATGAACCAACTGGTCACAGTCCCATTGGCTACTTGTGTGAGGTGACGTGGTAAAATCGATAAAAAACTGATAGACTTCTTGGACATGGGGACCGTGAAACAACCGTGAACGACCGTGAAAGAATCGTGAACGACTATTTTTGGGCGTGAAATCCTATTTTTGGGCGTGAACGACGAACACCCAAAAAACCACCAAAAAACACATGTTTGTAAGATGATTCTCTGTTGATCGCTGTGTGTAGCCATTTGAGACGCTTTCGACCGTGGGTCGCGTGTCGGGGATGGGGGAGCCTGGTGATGGGCTCACTGCTGCCCAAAAGATGCTTCAAAAAGCATCGCAAAGGGCAGATCGTGCTCGTCAGAAGGAATCTGGTCAGGGTGAGCCAGAGTCTGCTGATGCACGCCCAAGGACTGGGCCTGTTTGCTCTTGGCATGTGTGTGTGATGGAATCTCATGTCCTTTGGATCATCAGGCCTACTTAATTGAACTATAATTCAATCAATAACACTTTTAACTTAATTAGGCAGCTCCAATTCACAAGATTACAAGATTCGATGTTTTTTCCTTGCCCTAGATACGTACATCCTCCGATCATGGATGCCCAGTAGATCTGTCAAGTCCAAGAATTCAATTCCAAGGGTTTGAGTGAAACTGAATGAACATCATTGGGAAGGAGCTCGGATGCCAAGTCAAAGGCTAAAGGGAAGAGAACCCCACCAGAAGCAGGCGCGTCCCATCACATCGTAGACTGAGAAGCCGTACTTGGTTTCTTGTCCTTCTTGGTCGAGTGAACCTGCCCAAAAAACTTGGATCTCAGATGTGATTTCGAAGATCGATGTTATTTTTAAAAAAGCAATACTGAATTACATACGATTATACTTTAATCGAAATATATTCCTCATCATGGATGCTACGATACTGCTTCCATAGTCCATCAATCATTCCACTCCTGGCCTCAGATTCGGATGCCACAACGGTACCAGCTTCAACACCAGAAGCTCGAAAGATGGCACTTCAGAAAGTAGCAGAAGCCAAAGCTGACAAGAGCAGTGACACAAAAGATGCAACGGCGAAGAGCACAGCGCAGCTGCCACGACGGCTTCAGTCTCAGGCACTTCTGGAAGATCCAGCTGGGACAGAACATCTACTCAAGGTCAAGAAGTCTGCGAGTTCTGAAACCATGCTGTATCCTGTCCCAGAAGTCAAAGCTACAGCTGTGAAAGCCAAAGCTCAACCAAATCAACCGGCCAAGGAGGAGAAGGGCACGACAGCCAGAGCTGTTCGAGAGTGTCTTGCCAGATCAAACACAGCTGAAATCGCAGCTGTGCCGGCTGAGGAAGCTGTCGCTATTCCTGAGGAGATTGAGGAGGCTCCTGAGAGCAAGAGGAAAAGTAGAAAGACTTCTAAGGAGACACCACAGGCTCCTGCAGCTGCCGCTACTTCTGAGAAGACTCCTGAGACCGAGAAGAAAACCACCAAAAGAAAGACTTCTACGGGGACTACGGAGGCACCAAAGGCTCTTGAGAAGAAGGCTGCTGAGAAGAAGGCTCCTGAGAAGAAGGCTCCTGAGAAGAAGGAGAAGAAGACTTGTGAGGAGCCACCAAAGGCTGATGAGAAGAAGACATCGAAAGGACAGCCAGAAGTCGATCCGCCAGAAGCAGAAGCTGATGATGCTGAATCCAGCAGTGAAGACACGCAGGAGATTCTGCTGAAAGAGCAGCAAGTGAAGGCGAAACGGGAAGCTCACGCGCGATTCATGCGCTTCCGTCGCTTCCTTTCTAGTGCCTCGTCTCGATCTCAGTAGTATTTGTTTCGTTGATGTCCACTTCATCTCAAGCACCTCGTCGAAGCCTTTCGTTGATTGATGTACCAAGCGATAGCTCGATCAAGTTATATATGGTGTTCAAGTTTTTTCCCTGCCATGTCTAATCGACAATGTCCTGAGAGATAATATCATGGCCAAACAAGCTCGAACCTATGATCGATGTGGTGGGTCTTCTGGTGCTAGAGTACGTATGTTGCCCTTCCATCTATCTTTTGAGGCCCTAAGACGCCTGCAGAGATCAGAGCAGCAGGCGCTTCGGCGTTCCGGGACCACAACAAACTCCACCTTCTCTTAGAACAGTGGAGTTCTTGCAGTGGAGTGTGGCGGCAATCTGATTTTTGGATTCAGCTCAAGTCCAAGAAGAGGCACCGAAAAATAGGCTGCCGTCGGTGGGTCACCAAAGCTGAGCTGGTGGGTAAGCTCGGCAGCCAGCAGGCGGCCCAGGAGATCATAGAGTGTAAGATGATGGACCCACAAGTGAGATCTGAACAAGTAAGAGCGAATCCTGACTGTCATGGAAAAGAGACAGAGGCTGGGACGGCGTGGGTTTGCCTTCGGACAAGGTACCTTGATATGCAAAAGATCGATCTGTAATAATTATACATGATTGATGAACCCAAAGCTCGATCTCAATCGCGTCGAACACTTGAACCTCTTTGTCTGGTGTGCCAGGAAACTCGCCAATTCCTGATCTGGGACAAGGATGCAGAAGAAGATGTGGAGGACTACACGGCCACCTCACTCTTTGAAGCAGCGGAGGGCGGAGGGGATGAAAAGCCTCGTGGGCGTGATGAGAAGAAGTCCAAGGGCAAGAAGAGAGATCGAGAAGAATCAAAGAAGAAAGAGAAGTCGTCGAAAGCCAAGAAGGCCAAGAAAAGGTCCACGAGCTCATCTGCATCCTCTCAGAGTAGTACGTCATCCACAAAGAGCAGTGGAAGTTCCCAGTCGAAAGCGAATTCTACATCATCCTCCAAGGCCAGAGTACCATGGGTGGGTGTGATTTGGGATGGACAAACTAGGCAAATCATCAGTCAGGCTAAGTCGCTGCCAGGTTCACAGTGGCTTCCCGAGAAATCAAAGTCGATACTTACTTGATAGTCCATAGGTCCTCCAAATGTAACTTCAAGAATTTCACTATAAATAAATTCTAGCTAGTCTTAACATGTACCCCGGCAGGAGAAGAAAAAGGACAAGAAGAAGACTCCCAAAGGCAAAAGCAAGTCCAGCAAGAAAAAGGCCAAGAAGGAGAAGGAGAAGGAGGAAACCGCAGAGCAGAAAGAGCAGCGCAAGAAAAGGGAAGCTGAGGAGCAAAGAAAGAAGGAGGAAAAAGAAAAGGAGAAGGAGAAAACCACAGAGTTTAAGAAGGAGCTACGCAAAGGAACACAGGCCAGTTGTATTTGATCCGCGTCTCCCCATACCACACTCTTCCCATTTCCCTGAAATATATTATAAGATTCTCAAGCTTAACCAGAATGTGAATTAATTCATTGCTCATCATTTTCCCCAATATATGCTGAGACATGCAAAATTGACTTGCGCAATCTTGCGCACTCAATTGTGTCAGATGGTGACCAAAATCGGCGGGGCGATCTCCAAAGCGGCCGGCCTGGAAGACAAGCTGGTTGGAATGCGTCTTGGCCTGAAATTGCGCAGGCCAAATATGGAGTGTTAGGCCAATAGAACCTCGTGATCCAACAAAGTGAATGTTTTCTTTCTCAGAGAGGCGCCTCATGACGATTCATGTTAAATGTCGAACTGACAGAAATTAAGACACTGATCATTTGGCCGGCTGTTAACCCCGAAAGTGTGCACATGGTTCGTTAACAATTTTGGTCCAGAAACATCCATCCAAATAGATCGACAAAACAAACACAGCAACCCTCTCGATATGTTGGTTCACCCACCACTGCAGGAGTGAGTCTGTGATCAAAGTGATCACCAACGAAGTGGCCCCGCACTTGAAGAACCTTCGCTCTATGCGGTCCAAGCTTCAAAAGGCCGTGGACTCTGCTAAGGCTAGGACCTGCCGGCGGGAAGCTCTCAAGACTCCTCTCTGTTTTGTGTCGCCAATGCTGGAGTAGCTGGAGAATAGTAACTAACAGGGGAGTCATGATAGGGCATGTGTATACAGGAGGCGCATAGATTTTGGCGTACTCTCTATTTTTTACAATGGCTTGAAACAAAGGTGTCATGGACCCCCTCCAACACTACAATCCTGGTGATTTGATTGCATGTTGTTTTACAAGAGTCCAGTCCAGCATTCGTCTCATGCACCATTCCATCTTCAGGTGGACAATCTGGGGTCCATGCCGGACCAGATAGCTGAGTCGCAAAAGGTCATTGACACGTTCTCACAGTTTTGCCAAGCTTACAGCATCAAGTGATCAGGGAAAACCCCTGGTGCGCGAGGCTTGATCACCATGCATCTAGGTTCTGAGGCGCACAGGCCCCCAACTGTCTGTTTTCAGATTACAATATATATTCTCAAAGTCCTCAGCCTTTAGTGGCATATTTTTTGCAACTACTAGTTGCTACGTATGATGTTTTTTCAACACACACACACACACATGCAGGAAACACACACACATACACACCTTGTCTGGGCCAGCGCTGAAGATTTGTGCACAGTGATCTGCTGCTTTCCAACTGTAGCTAGGTTTGACCACCAGGGTGAAAGGGGAAATACCGTGCTGGCTGCACATGGGTTGTCATTCTTTGCGTTTAGATGTCACACGAACAACCACTTCATTGATCGATGTCAGTTTTGACATAATGCATGCAAACAAAAACTAAAAGACTATGGTTCTCAGATCTTGCTCCCCACACAGGTTACATACGAGAAGATGGTGTTTCGCAAAGCTTCATCGGTCATTGCGATGATATCAGCTCGGGAGTGCCTTGTCGGACTCAGCTTCTTTTAAGCTGCCGGATCGCCGGATCGGAGAACGATAAATATATATCGACCATGAAAATTATAATCAAAACTCGAGAACTTCCAAAACTGTTTTGACTCCACCTTGCCCTTGCTTATCGCGAGGCCTCTTCGGTGCAGCTGGTCATGCGTCGCATCCGAGATCAAGCCGCCGAACCTGGGCGTTGCAAAGCATCATGAGAGTTTGTTGAGTGGGTGAATTTCTGAATTTGCAATGTTTGGTTTCTGGAAAGTGGTGTGGGCCCAACAACGACCGATGTATACCACTGATGAATGGACCGATGTTTATAAATCGATACGATTTTTCCTATCGGCCATCAGGACATTGGCACTTCAACCTGTCCAGCAATGGCACGGCTGGCCACTGTCTCTGGTCGCAATGATGTGCGGGATTTCTGGTCAGCAGTTGATGTCCCTGTGGTGCTTTGGTTAAAATTCAGTCATGGGTGTTCGGTCTCTCGGACTTACGATTTTTTTTGGGGACATGATTTTGTGCTCTACACCCGACGTTTTTCAATGGGTACCTTGGAGGAAATCGAGACAATCAACGTGCCTGTGCAATCTCCAAAGCCGCCGCATTCACTGAGCATGAAATCATTTCCGATCATCCATCCTCACCGGGTCTTGACGTATTTGTTCGAAGAGATTGGTATAGTTGTTCCTGATGCTGAAGTCCGGCAGTTCTGGGCACACGCTAGAGCTGTGAACGACCCGTGTGCATCTTGTAGCGATGATGGCACGCATGTTCCAATCGGAATTCACGGCGATTCCGCCAGACTTTGGACACAGTACAAGGTCGAAAAAAATGGTATGCATATGGATGAATGTGGTGCTATTCCGCCCGGCTTCTGTTCGGCACTCGAGGTTCCTTTTGTTTACATGCCCCAATGCAGTGATGGTGAAGAACCGCACACTCACGCCTGCGTCCGCCAAACATCTCGATGCCATTCCCAATCACCCCTCATCTCGCACAAGCAAAACCGTTTTCGGGATGATGTCAAAGGAGTTCCGGCGCGAGCTAGATCTTCTCCTGCAAGGGGCCTGTTCGACTCTCCAATAGTCGGGTTTATCCCTTGATAGGCGAAGTTGAACGACCACGTCAATCGTCGCCATACCCTGTTGTTGCCCAGCAGTATCCAGGGGACCATCTGAATACCTGTACCACAACATTGGGGATGGCTGTCAGTGGATCAACGAACAGTTTACCTTGGATCAATTCATTTCCCGCCGTTTGAGGGACCGACACCTGTGTGCTTGGGATTGATTGATTCTATACCATTTTGCGTGTGTCTGATGTTTTTTGTTCTGTCCTGTCATGTCTGTTGCGTGTGGTGTGTGGCACTGGTGCGCATGTGTGTGTGTGTGTGTCGAAGATCATAGTCATAGTCGTAGTCTGTGTGCTTATTCGCCACAGTAGCATGATATCTAGATCGATCTAAGGTCCACTACTGATGATCAACAAGTTTCACCCTGGCTGCTTGAAATGGTGTGTGATGCACACACTGAACTTAGGGATCCTTTTTGCATGCAATGCTGGATCATTGCCCCTTATAAATCAATTCAGCAACATTGCAACTTTTTCACACACCTCGGGCTCCAAACCTCTTCTGTGTCGCCTTCCAGCAGTCGACAAGTCTCCTACAGTCACTGCTGAGTTTGCCCAGGCTGCTACTGTGTGAAGATCTCCTATGGTTTGGGGGTGGCAGCCTAGCTGCCCAAATGGATGAGGCTTATGTGAGCTACCGCCAGTACTGCAAAGATCGTAAGATCCAGCAATCGCAACCCCCGTTCTGTCCCAAAATGGTTTCTTGGCCTTGACATTCATTGCAGGATTCCCCTCGAGACTAGCCAAGCACTGCTGAAATTCTGTATTGGGTATGACTTGCAATATCACTGCTGGAACTTATCATGTTTTATCCCACTAACTGCTCAGGTGAAGAAAAAAGGACGGTCAAGATAAGATGATTCTGAAGGCATACAATGGCCGGTGCGTGCAAAGCTGGCTGAACCATTGCTTGCTAGAAGCCGTGGATGCTCACCCTGACAACGACCTGCTGATCCTAGTGTCCACTTGTATGACCCTCGGCTGGTCCTTTCAGAAACCTTTTGAAATTAAACGATGTGCACATGCACACTTGCACGCACACATACACACACACACACCTGATCCCTAGCCCTACTCTCCACCATGCATGGACAGCTCCAACCACGATCCCAAGTGGTTTTCTCCAGTCCTCCAGGAGCTCTTTGGCGAAGTTCTTCACCATGATGGAAACGCATGGCAGATACTTGTGACCCGGCAGATTAATTTTTGCCATCCAGGTGTACGCACAGTAACCAAAATTTATATCTAGACTTCCAAGACTCTTCTATTATTTGGCTATGATGTATGATGATGTGGTGGGGGTGAACGATGGTGGATAAAGGTGGGTCACTGGTCCCACTGGCGTTCATTTCTGCAGGTCTGAAGAGGTTGCCACAGCCATGCACGATGCTGGGATTCGGTTCCTCAACCTCTACAAGATTCTGTGCCGTCAGCATGTGAGGACTGTAGTTTGGAATTTCGATCTTGACCATAGGTTCCAACTCGTGCATGGTGAGTTGACCAGCTTCAAGATGCCTCAATCAAGTATTGTAATTAAGGGAATATTTTTTAATGAAA